GTACTAACTCTACTACAGGGGCCGAGTGGTATTCCTGAGGTCCCTTCCTCAGGACTCCCCTCCCCTCCGACAAGCCCCCCCCTCGCCGCACTAACCTCGTCTAACGAGCTCGCCCTTCTGCCCAAGAGCAAGAAGCGCGAGATCCCAGGCCGGCGCCTGGGTCGACGAGGGGGGGCAGCACTTTCGATCAGGGAAGAATGTGAGAGATTCTTTTGCGAGTCCATGAAGACGATTTTCCACGGTGAGAGGAATTCGTCCATGAATGGCTCCGGCCTGTCTGGTGCTTTTTTACCAACGCCGCCGTCCGATGACCGGCTCCCCGAACACTTCAAGCCTGTTTCTGATGACAAGCTACCTGCCTACAACGTTACTGCTTGGCTGGAGATGTGGGACTATGCCGGCGGAGCGAGCTTCCGTGCCTTTGTCGCTGATGATGGAGAGGAGAAATCTCTCTTTGTCTTCTTCGATATCGAAGGCGTACTTGGCCGAGACCTGAAAAAGGCGTAAGTAATACTGCTTCCCATTCTTCTGTCCAATTGCTAAATATTCTGTAGTCTGATGGCACTTATCGAACTGGCCGACGGTCCTCTGGACTGTGCCCATATCGTCACTTGCATAGATAGACGCATCCCTGCTGACGACGTCCACTCTTTGACAAAGAGTCTACAGTGGGTTGGCTTCGACATGGTTACTCTAGACCACTGGGCTCATGGTCTTGATGTCACGAGCAAGAAGTGGATGTTGATGGGCATGGAGCTATAGGTATGAGCGCTGTCCTGTCTTTTGTGGAGTTAGGGAGCGGACATATTTCCTTAGTTTCCTCTATGTCATGTTTCGTTCGTTGGTATTTTCCAAATTTTCGTCTGGAGGCTTGCTCAGCGATTTGCTCTGCTGTTCTTGGAGAGATCTGGTAGCATCGGGCGTTGAGTCGCAGAAAAAGTTCGACGGCTCCAAGGCTTTTGGCGCATCTCTCGTTGTTTTTTTGGACTTTAACGGTGTAGGAGCTTAAAGGTGTTTGTGTCATTCTGTATCTTTCACGGCGATGACTTTCAATGTCGTACAAACCTGCTAGGTAGTTGAGATAATGCTGAAGCAATTGCGTGCAAGTTAAATAGTGTCTATCATCTGTCGTTTTGTTCTATCACGGATGGCTCTAAGATCATTCCTCAAATTGTCTAACTTTGAGACCCCTTTCCTTCAAGTAGTCCTTCACCTGTTTAACGGTATACTCGCCGCGGTGGAACATACCGGCCCCCAAAGCAGCATCCGTAGTAGTCTTCTCAAAGACTTCCTCGAAATGAGCCGGGTTGCCAGCACCGCTTGAGGCAATGACGGGGATCTTGATAGCTCCCTTTACCTGGTTGATGAGCTCGTGGTCAAACCCACTATTGGTGCCGTCCTTGTCAATGCAGTTGAGAAGGATCTCTCCGGCTCCCATTGCTTCAACGGCTTGGGCAAGCTCGACAACATCCATATCACGAGTCTCACGACCGCCTTTGATTGTGCAAGCGTACCAACAGTATTCCTCGCCCTTTGGACCCGGGAATTGTGTCTTTATGATGTTGTGACGGGTGGCATCAGGCTTGGGAACATAGACACGCTTGGGATCAACGCTCACAACGACGGCTTGGTTGCCATAGGCGCGTGAGATCTGCTCAATGGCAGTATTGCCGAAGAGCTTGCGGCCTATAGAGTAGTACTCTTCAGCAGCAAGAACAGCGTCGGAGCCGATTGAGACCTTGTCGGCGCCAGACTTGAAATACATGCTCGCAATTTCAAGGGCTGACACCTTTGTGCCGTCAGTATCCATTGTGTCACGAATACCACCGCCGATGGTCAAGGGCACAAAGACGGTGCGAGACGTTTGACGAAGAACCTCGAGCATAGGGAGATCGGCAACAGGGCAGTCTCTGAAAGAAGTGATGTTGAGGAAAGTCACCTCGTCGGCACCAGATTCGTAGTATTTCTTAGCCATCTCGACAGGCTTGCCGAGGTTTCGCACGTTGCGGTCATCGCCCTTCTCGCGAACATCGTACTGATCACCCTTTGTAACGACCAAGTCACCCTGATCATTTGTCCTCACGTCTAGACAGGCAATAACTCGCCGTGTTAAGCTGTCTTCGAATTTGATCGGGGCATTGGCGACAGTCTCGTCAACAACGGTACCAAGATTCTTTGCGCCTTCACCTGTGAGGAAAGCCCGGATAGTTTTCAAACCTGCAGTGCCAGACTTTTCGGGGTGAAACTGGGTTGCAAAAATGTTTCCCTTGGCAATGGCGCCTACGAAAGTCTCGGTACCATAGGTTCCAGTAGCGACAGTCCACCCCTGTGACTCAAGCTCACCTGGCTTGTAGGGGCATTTGTAAGAGTGAACATAGTAGTACTTTGAGTCTGGTTGAAGATCGTACATGGCTCGTCCAGCTGTGAAAGCATTGTTCCACCCGATGTGGGGGACGGATTTATTTGAGTCCTCGAAACGATCCAAGGAAGCTGGAACGACTCCAAGGCCGGGGATGTCGGGGTCCTCTACAGAACCCTCAAATAGGGCTTGTAAGCCGACACATACAGCGAAGAATGGCTTTCCCTCAGCAATGTGCTTTCGAACTGGCTCAAGATAGCCAGCTTGGGACAATTGGGATAGACAATGTCCAAAGTGGCCGACACCGGGGAGGATGAGTTTCTAAAAGCGCATCAGTCATGGTGGACAAAATATTGAAGCAAGTATCAACAAACCTCTGCCTTTGGAACGTCTTCCGGCGATCTGACCCATTCTACTTCGTAGCCAGACTTCTCAATGGCATTTACCAGGCTCCTGATGTTGCCGGCGACATAGTCCAACAGGTGAACAGTGGGCATTGTACCCTAGATATGATGGATGGTAAATATATAAAGATAGAAGGTATAAAGACCGAATATATTGCTTGGAAGAGGTGAATCGTGACTGATATAACACGACGTAAGACCGGGAAATTGTAGCGATAGCCAACTCTATATCAAGTCCAGACAGGTGTTTGAAGTCGTCAAGATAAGTGTGACTGTTAAAATCCCATGAGACTCATTGAAATGTTGTAACAGCGACAGCGGGGCAATCGCGAGTCACAGAAACTGCCCCGCCTGATCCCTGTGATCCTGGACTTTTCAGAAAGTGCCGCCTTTGACCGACTTCCAGACCTTGTGCACCCCCCAAATGGCAAGTACCTAACCTACCTTAGCTTTCTTTACCACATGGAAGCTAAGTTTCGCGACTGCAAGTTTGCAGTTTGTCAACAAAGCTACTATAAGTATTTGGCTTTTTGAACTTATCTCCTTAGGCCTGTGTTTTATTTTTCTTCCTCTATGGATACGACCAAATCACGAGGACAGCATTGCAATTCTATTTGTCCAGTTTCTCTTCCTGAAGCATCTAGTTAGTGGCTTTCCCTGCCAATTCTCTGAGCATACTATGGCTTCGTTGGACGAGGCGAGATTGGCAGATAAAGCAGCAATCGTCAACATTGAGGAACAGCTTGAAAAAGATGAACAGGAAGAGTGGGAGTACGAATACTCAACCACTGAAACAGAGGTACTGTTCCACCTCGGTCCCAAGTTATCATGCGCAACCAGCTAACTTCTTATCAAAGACATACTACTTGACTGTCGATCTTTCATTTCCAGAATTCAAGGACCGACAGCCAAGGGCGCCTCACCACAGTCGCGGCGGGTATTACAAAACCTGGCTCGACCACAATCCTAGTTTGAGAGGTGTTCATGCTGGGGATGATAATGATGACGATAATGACAATGAGCCACTTCCAGAACGAGAGGTTGATGATGACGAACCTGAAATCGATCCGGCACTAAGCAATGACAAAGATAAAGGCAAAGCAGTCGACAGAGGCGAGCCAGAGGACGACACAAGAGACGATGTGGACAAGACACGTGGCGAGAATGAAAACATCCAGATTCTTGAGCTACATTCCGAAAAGCCGATCATCTCATACAAAGGACGCACATTTGAGGGGTCGTGGGCAGAAGTCATTGGTACCGAAGCTATCTTTACGGCACGCGACAGCGACCGCCCCCTCCCTGCTCTGCGCCATCTAGATGGAAATATTGATTTTCTCGGCGCATGTGCGTCAAGAATCGCCACTAAAGAGACTGTTGTCAAGCCAAAAATTATCAGGGAGGATCCATTAGCCGCTATCAGGGAGGAATGGAATATTCGAATTCCTGTTGGAAAAGACAGGTCGGGAGAAAGAGCTGAACAGACACGGTTCCTAGAAAACTTGATGGCGATCAAGAAGAGGAACAAGGAGAAGGATCAGGTCACCGTATGGGCTAAAGACGGCGAAGGTCAGGACTTCAAAGACAACCGAGACCCTGACTACAAACCCAGGCGAAGAAGAAGATTGCTCAATGAGGATGGAGAGGAAGTCATTCCAAAACGTGAGAGACGACGTGCAAGTGGGCGCAGGGGCGGCCGTCCCAGACTTCGACCTGGGGTTGTTCGTGGACGGGGCTCAACGGCCCCAACTCCATCAGCAACTAGAGATCTGGAAAGTACTGTGCATGAAGGGAACATGTCAACTCCTACTCCAAGCAGATGGAATGAACTGCATGGAAGAGCTGATGAATACATGGACCATTCTGACGATGAGGATGACACGGACGAAGAAGATGAAGAAGATGACGATGAGGACATGACAATGGCAGATTGAATGACGGCAATAGTTGAGCCCCAGAAGCATCGAGTTGACATTTAGCGCATGACATTATGATACCCGTGGAGAATCGTCGCCAAAATGATAATAATAATAATAACAATAAGGCTTCATATACCCTACACTTCTGTTTCATGTATTAAGCAGGTTGTGAGCATGTTCATGGCGAAGCTACAAGGCTAACGTGTAGTGCACTTGAAGACTGCATGAGGGTTGCGATCAAGCTGTCATTGGTGAACGGGTCTTGGAGTCACCTTTGTAAGATCCAGGTTATGAGTGAGTGCATATGAAACTGCCACGGACGGTCGATGACACAACACACGTGCTGAGACCTTGTGGGTTGATAAGTGATCATGGGTATACCTCTAGTGAGTGTCATTGATTTTCGCATCTGCTGCTCCAAAACCGATACACAAGTCATTCACCTGCAGCCGGGGGGACTTCATTGAAGTACTGTGACTCGTAGACACAAGATTGATCGTGTCACCCAGCATCAGCTCCCCCACATCTCTCGCACGTTTATATATTCTTTGCTGCAGATGCACATCTGTTGGGGAATCTTTATTCTGACGGTGAACAAAATCCACTTATCTTTCCTGAGTATGGATCATGGGAACGACAGCTGAGGGTGTCGTACTCGGGACTGTAGGTAAGTACTGTCAGTATGAGTACACCGAGCATACTACCCAAGTTACTCTAGCTGAATTCCCAGTCTTTCGGCGGTCAGCAAGTGGTAGATACTTCATGTTGAATGGGAAATAGGGCGGGTTTGAACGTATCTGTTACACGATCTTTGAGCCAACCGGCCCATTCCAGAACTGCAAACCGGGGTTGCAAATGGATCTTGAGGCTAGCAAGAGGGGAATCCTGTTCATGTTGCGCAAAAAGAGGGGTCCTTGCGCTAAAACACGATCAAGGAACAGTCCGGGCAGGGCTGTGATGTCGTTCTCGTTTGCCGCAGCGGATCAGGTCAGTCCTTAATAGGGTACCTGAGTCTTGAACTAGACAAATGGAAGAATGTAACACAGGCGCGAAACTTGGGTGAAGAGAGTTTGCAAACAAAATCTAAGTTTATCTTATACTTCTCCCCAAGAAGAATTACGTGTCGGCAGTTCTGTAGTAGACCAGCAGACAGACACTTCTACTTGAGGCTGAGCAAGAAATCTTGGCACAGAATACCTAAGTACCTATCCATTAATGGACATATCCGCTTTCCATCTACGGATACCCCAGACTGACTTGACGTATCCGTACTCATCACCAACGCCCTAACCATAGGCACCTTGACTACCTTAGGTACCTATGTAGCCATCTATCGCCAGATACGCCAGAAAAAGAATGCTATCTGCAAATGCAAACCGTATACATGTATACCTCCTGCAGCTCCATTTCCTAAAGTGTAAAGTATCTGTACCTGCATCCCCACCACCCTCCACCGGTTACGTCTCACCAAACCTCCGCCGCCAATCGATACCCTTGCCCTGTCCGCAGTCAACTACGCAGCGACCAAAAAAGTATCCCGTTCTAGACTACCTATGGCGCGCGCTTCTTTTCTTCTGTCGACTTAGCGGGAGGCTTTGTCTTCCTTTCTTCTACTTGTACTCTACTCTTTGTCCGTCTTCCCAACGACATGCTGCGAGCGGTGTCGTACTTCTCTCGTTCGTTCGTGATGCTCATATAGCCGGTCTACCCAGTCCCGTTCGTCTTCCTGGCCTTACTTCGATACTCCCCCGGCTTTTCGTCGGTCTTCGCCTTCGAGCCTCTTCAACTTTAATTGCTGCGCAAGCTGCGTCCATGTCCATGGGCTCTTGCAGTCCTTTATCGCTACAGCCATGATTTGGTTACGCCGCTTCACCATATTACTCTCTTTCATGCTGCTTATCTCACTTGGCGCATGGCTGCTCCCCCGTATACTAGACCCAACGACGAAAGGCCCTGAGAGGCGCGCCAGAGATCGACGATGGGTAAACAGTAGCCCGTACTTTCTGGATCGTCAGGCCTGTCGCTGGATTAGTCTGTGCGGACTACATCACTTGCGCAGTGATCCTGCCTCTCGTGGCAATAATGAGGACCAAGAGCCAGACTGGGGAGAACTCAAGCGCCGCTCTCTTGCCTGGGAGCCTGACGATATTCCCCGTCAAAACCGCAAGAGGGATGTCAATCAACGACGCAGGGTCCTCCGCGACATCCCCGACTATGTCACGAAGCATGCGCCGTTAGTTCACCTCTACTCTGGGGAAGAGTTTTGGCCCTCGGACATACGTCAGCACGTAGAACATATGACTGCCTACGCCGATGACGAGCCCATTAACTCGACCGAGAAGTGGACTCTTCATAACTTGCACGAGCTGAATAAGTATTCTGGCAAAATCACTCTCCGAAGTGATGATGATGTCGAGTCTCGTCCCAACTGGCTGCACAGCCATTACAATGTTCCCAAACCGTTTCCTGACGACAAAGACGGCAAAGATGATGGCCAAAACGGCGATATACCGGTAGGAAACCCCGGAGGAGAACCCGAGGCCCGGGAGCCCAGCACCTGGTATGATGTCGACAAAACACGGCCTGTCCATAAGATTTCCGACCCTAGAAATCGAAAGTTACACAATCGTCGTCGTTCGGAGTCCAACAGTCACAAACCGGATGCCAATGGCTACTCAGCCGCTCCTGCAGTACTTGTTGTGGTTGATAAGGGGTCAGGCATTGTTGACGCCTTCTGGTTCTTCTTCTACTCCTACAACCTCGGCCAAACTGTCCTGAACATTCGGTTTGGTAACCATGTGGGTGACTGGGAGCACTGCATGATGCGCTTCGAGCACGGCATTCCCCGTGGCGTCTTCTTCTCAGAGCATGAGGGCGGACAGGCGTACGCATTCGAAGCTGTCGAAAAGCGCGGTGGCAGACCCGTCATTTATTCAGCTGTGGGCTCACATGCAATGTACGCGCTACCAGGAAACCATGCTTATATCCTGCCATTCAAGCTGCTCAAGGATGTCACGGATAAGGGACCTCTCTGGGACCCAGCTCTTAACAATTACGCATATCATTATGACTATACGAAAGAGGACAATCATGACCTGGACGAACAACATGAACCTCTGAGTCTTGTTCCCGCGGCATCGAATCCTCACGCACCGACATCTTGGTTCCATTACCAAGGGCATTGGGGTGACGAAGTCTACTCTCTCGCCGACCCCCGTCAGTGGCGTTTCTTCGGTCAGTATCACTATGTCACTGGCCCCGATGGACCTAGGTTCAAAACTCTCAGTCGTACCAAAATGTGTCAGAATCAGAATTGTAGAATTCTCTACAACCTAGATCCGAAGAACACGTGGTACTAGATGAGTATGCTCGTCAACCGGTTATGTGTTGCACTACGAATAACTGGTGCAAGTGCCACACCTATATTGTTTCCCTCATCTCTGCGAGTTGGACCGGAGTTTGACGTAGCAAACCTATTTGGTGGATCCAAGAGCATCAGTACGTACGTGCGTGCATGCTTGTCTGGCAGTAAGTGCCCAAGGGTCTTAGCTGGGAGTACCAGATTTCTCGGCATTTGTTAGATGGGAAACGGCGTTAGATGGGGGTTTCTCTTGGGATAGATTCTTTTCTTTTCTTCGTGTCTGGTTTGTGGAGAATCGAACTGGCGGCCTAGAACGTATATCACTGTTATGTTGGATGGGATGATTATGGGATTTGATACCTAGATACCGCTTCTGTTGGATGCCCCAGCTTAGATATGTCAAAATGTTCCTTTGATGGTTATGAAGTACGTGATTTCAGGTATTAGTTAAACCAGCTCCTGCATGGTACCAAGAACGGCCGATGCCAGAGTGTGAAGAGTGCCACACTCGTTGAGGATGTGGACATGTTGCACTCCTCGATTACTGATAATTGCCATAGACAGAGAGGGTTCGACGAAAGCTAGCATAGTAGCTTCATTAAGTGGTAGTGCACGTAAGATGCTGAATCTATCTGATACTTGTGTAAACTTCAGAATGTTTGAATTGCCGCAGTAGGCATACCCAAGCTGTGTCAGCCATTTTAACGCATAAACTATGATGAGACGCTTCGCCTACCGGCCTCTCAATGCAAGCCATGATGCTAATAACACAAATTCTGTTTCACTTTCACCTGCGTTGCAACTGTGATAGCTGCAGAATAATCCCAGAAAGGCATATATTTGCGCAAAAGATCCCTGAGCTCAGTGTTTAGATGAACCGGTCATTCTCCAGCTCACCTATAATTTGACTCCGTTCTGCTTCCTTTTGAAGGCCAAAAATGAGTCAAAGGCCCTGGCTCATAATAGTAGTACACTGTTAGGTGGAGATGAGTTTGATGCACATGCCAGAGTGGCCAAGGTGATGGCCTGCACAGGAGTTTCCTGTAGGTTCCCTCAACAAAGCCTCTGTTGGTATTCAGTGATCGTCTCTCGTGGGAGGCCAAGAACATACAGCGCCTTGGAGATCCTTTTCAGTGCAGTAAAATATTGTATCATGGTGCGGCAGTCGACTTGAGCAACACACGGTAAGTACGACAGCAACATCAATGTCTGATGCCTCGTTGTGACTTCGAGGGTCAGAACTACCAAAGGAGCCTTATAGAGTGCCCATAGACCTTGATCATGTTCATCTACTGCACGGCGTATATGTCCTAACTTGGTAACATAGATACAGCTTCGGCATGGTTTCAGGCGGTCTCTGGGTAAGCCGATGGCGGGAATTCAACACGACTTTGTGACTTAATAACTGTGATACGTGGATGTAAGTTGTATGAGTTGGCAGTGTCTTGTTTCCGGGAAAAGCTGATCATGTCGACGGAAAGGTCTTGGCTGTTTGTGGCTACAGACTCGACAAGATGGTGAGACTGTCAGGAATCCGATGGCGTTGGAATACTTTGAAACCAACGACAACTGTACCAGCCCAAAAATCAATATTCGTGGGCAGCAAAAACTACAGAGCGGTCCCTAGTGTGTACTGGCCGATAAGGACATTAGTTTTGTGATACTGTGGTATATATCATGCGTATATTTACGGTTAATGTGTAATCATCTCCAGTTGTTAAAGGTGCCTGTAGTCTACCCCGTCAGTCATGTCATGGCATCACAGAGACGTCAACGTCGTGCCGAGGTAGTAGGAGAAGATGGCACTCCAGTGACACACAAACTTTAAGTGTGATGATATTAAGGTAGGTATAAATAAGGTTATGCAGGGTGGCTGGATACGATCTGACTAGCTCGGCCGTGCTTCTATTCAACGGTGCATATAGATAATCGAGATAGCTACCTTGAGTATTAAGCTTTCCTTTATTCATTTGAGATCTCGCTTGAGCATATCAACCGTAGAGTTATGAAGATCAAAGATGGGCCACTGGCACAGCGTTGAAGGGTTCTTGAGAATCTGTGAATGCCGGTAAGAAATCACCGGTTTCTACTCGGCATTTGATGTCTGTTGTTGTGTTATGTTGATAGAATGAGGCCAATGCTGTCGTTATGTCTACCTCTCGGAAGCTCCGTATCCGAGAATGATCCTTGCTATCCCTTCTCCTGAATGGTTGCTCAAACGGGACATGTCAAAAGAACCAGACCAGAGCGGCTGCGTTGCCCCTGTTTTCCTGCCATCCTTCAGTATGTACACATCGATCAATGAAACGCAATCAGACGACGCTGATCTTCGTCGGGAATGGGATGCTCCCATGTAACGTGGCCAGAGCTTTTGCAAGGCCAAGAGTCGTCCTTTTAGGTTCACCTGGGCCCCGAGGTCAAGGAGTTTCACTCAAGCACGCACACGGCAGTGGATTAGGTATGAGAGCATCTATTCCTCTTTAGATGCCGTTTCCGAATTCTTGTTTTAGTGCTGATATTTGATGCTGTTGGTTGCGCCTGATGGTCTATCAACCTACAAATATTCTCTAGCGGTTTGATTTGGTTGAGGTGATGTGTCGTTATGTCCTCCTTGGTCGGGCTCAATATTGAGGACGTAGGCTCTCGAGAGGGTTGACTAGTCAGTCACAAGCTACATACAGTAAAGTATGCAGACACATTGCTTATTCTATGTGCCTAGAGTTTAGTTTTGCTCTTTACGTTGAGGCTTGCGAGGACAATACGGAGGCTGAGATAGATCAACTAGCTATCGGTTTTACTAGCCCTACAAGACGAACCGCTGCTAGGTAGTAAAGTGATATATGTTCATTATATCATATGTTTTGGTGTCGCATGGCGCATGGGCAGTAGTAGAAGAATAATTCCCCTATTATTTGATGGGGAACGGGAAAAGCGAATAGTAGTCCCTGCAACCGTCGACGGAGATGAGTGGAGGCGCAGCTAGCGAAAGGAACAGAACCTAGCTTCTCGCAACAGGAACTCGAACTCCTGCAAGCCGAGCAAGGGTCAGGGTTGTATATGTTATTCTTTGCCATGGAAGCCAATGAGATGAGGGTATCGTGGTGAGCTGAGAGCGTAGGCTCCATCAGAGCCCAAGTTGTCTCTCTTCTCGATCGAAGCTCATAACCGAGCTCAAGCTCAAACCACAATTAGCAGATGGTGATAATTAGTGTCTCCGGGTGTTTCTCCCTGATGCAGTAGCGCCTATAAGGGTCAAAATTCTTCAGCACTGGAGACGGATCGAGCCTAGCAGTGGACATGGCGACAGTCTTGTTGAACAACTACTGACTGACTTACAGGAGACATCCATGGGTCCACCATTACCGCAACCACCAGAGAAACTATCCAAGACAAGCTAGTGCCGATGTTTCAAAGAACAAACCGGAAATTTTCAGGCGGGAGGGACGGTATTTGTTCTTGGTACGGCTCTGAAGTTTTTTTCCCCTCCCCCATGAGAGACTTGGATGAGAGTCAGGTAAGCCAGGGGTCAAGAAAGGGGTTGAATCATTCATCGTCGGTAACTTGACTAGCTTTGTCGTCCTTTGTCGTCTTTGGAAGCAAGTTATTATGTACAGGCAAGACAGGGCAGGGCAGGTCAAGGGAACGGCCGATTCATTGAGAGAGAGTCATGTCGATCATGGCTGATGGGCGTTTTTAGGGCTTGAGTCAGTGCCAGTGGCGGCCATCAGTCGCCGAGCTATGTATCAAGAGTGTCTAGAACAGGCTGACTTTAAACAAGAACCACATGGCAAGTTTAAGCACGGGCTTTTGTAGGCATATAAATCCACAGCAAGACACAGACCAGAACATGAAGCAATTCTTTATCATAATCGTGAGCTTGCTTCATGTTCAGCTTTGACCTTGGAGCGGCAGCACCGGCATGTGGCCACTGCATGGTACTGCATGGCATGGCACCCACCCACACACCTCGTGGTGGATGGGGTCTATTGAGAATGTAGGTTGCTTCTGGTTCGAGGTGCACAGGTACATAAGGTAGACTACGGAGTACAGCACCTTAGCAAGTACTTGGGTATGTAGTCTACTGTGGTCAAGTGGAGGCTTCTAGCCTGCGGGATGTCTCCCAGAGTCGTATTGCAGCTGGAGATTGAGGCAAAGGAAAGAAAAAGAAAAGAGGATCGCATCAACATTTCACAATCCATCAGCTTTTCAACATCTCAACAACCAAAAACGATGTGGTGTTTCAAGGGGCTTTTGGGCGACCTAGTCGGGTGCCGGGAACGGGGATAAACCTGGGAACGACAAGGCCAGGACCTGCTACCTGCGACGTACCATTTCGGTATGTAGTTATGTATAATATTCCTGCGATTGTTTTGGCTGATCTCTCTTGAATAGAGAACCCAAGAAGCTATCCATAAGGTACCTTGGTATCGCCGGGAACGGCATCGTTTAAAAGCACATATTCAATTGGTGTAGCAGCTCCCTCCGCCGCCCAGCAATCCACTCTCACGCCAGCCCAGGCGCCCGATTTCAGACTTTCAGTCCAGGTGCTGCCCGGGCTAGGCTCCCGGCCACTAAAATATGGAGCTGACCTGGCTGTAAGTCCAAGTGCTGTACTCCGTAGTCCGTACAGCTCGCTAGCACAGAGCAAAAAGTTGGGTATCGAGACCCTGCACTTTGCGACGGGGAACTAACAGGCGGGAACCCCCCCGCCAGGTTCCTGCTGTGCCGTTCCATTCAGTGACTGAGGTGAGGTGCCATGCCCTTGGCCTGGTCCCCAAAGGCTCATCCCGTCATAAATCATACAGTGACCTCAGGTTCCATTAAGTTAGCCTCTTTTTTTTTCTTTGCCCATGCCCATGCCCATGCCCGCCCATGTCGCGCCTGTCATGGATGTTGTTGTTAATTAATAACTAAATGACCCGTCTCTTCTTCTACTCTTCTTCTTCCCTGTCTCAGAAATACTCTCTGGCCTGGCTTGGTTGATCCGCTCTATCTATACAGACAGTCCTTTCGCCCATCCAGCTGAATCGACTCTAATCCCCCTCCTCATCCAACATACGCAACTTAAATCGAGGCACTTCTCCCGAGGCAACAAGAAACGGATTGCTCTACTATCGAGCCACTTGGTTTTACCACTTACGCTGATTCCGTCGAGACTTCTTCACTCGCACCACCCAGACCGATTCTTCTATCGAATACATACCTAGCTCAAACCCAACCCCGAGTTTCCGGACGTTTTCGCGACTTTGTCTGCCGGCTCGTCTCATGCTCTTGTAACAGCATTGACCTTTGAACGATCCTCAAATCTAATACTTCGGCTTCTGTTTGATCTGTCTCACTCTACTCGCTTGCGATAACCGAACCGAGTTTCCGCCTCCATCGAGAGACGGCATCCATTTTCGACTTGCCTTGCATATCTACTCCCAATCAACCTCACCCTACGCCACAATTCCACCTCAAACCCCCATAATGTGCTTTGGAAGTCGGGACAAGGGCGATCGCGGTCTCGCGCGATCTCGTGATATCGACAAGCAGCTTCGCCAGGATGAGAAGAGGCTGTCCAAGGAGGTCAAGCTCCTCTTGCTAGGTAGGAATGATCTGGCCGCGCTTTCGCACAGATAAGACTGACACGCCATGCGCGTCCAACAGGTGCTGGAGAATCTGGAAAGTCAACTGTACTCAAACAGATGAAGCTTATCTACTCTCAAGGCTTCAGCAAAAATGAGAAGCTGGAATGGAAGCCCGTCATCTTTAGCAACATTGTTCAGTCTTTCAAAGTTATTGCCGAGGCAATGAATGAGCACGATCTTCAATTCGACAACCCCGACAACGAGGCAAGTCAAGTTCTTCCTCCCAGCTATGACTGCCTAAGCTACGGTTCCGACGAGAATTTTGAGTGAGGCGGTAGAGTGAGACATGCCCAATTACTAACAGATGCTACAGAAACACATGGCCCACATCCTTGTCGATCACGAAATTAGCCCTCACGACCCTATGCCGGCTGACTATCTTGAGCCCATCAAAGCCCTGTGGGTAGACAATGGTGTTCGAGCGGCTATTGGGATGGGCAACGAATATGCGTTACACGACAACCTGACTTAGTACGTGCTGTATGATGGCATGGCATGAAGTTCTTGGCGCTAACATGTTCTAAAGCTTCATTGAAGACATCGATAGACTTTGGGGAGAGGACTATGTCCCCGATGACCAGGATCTTCTCCGATCGCGATTGCGAACTACTGGTATCACAGAGACCATCTTCGACCTCGGCCAACTAACCTACCGAATGTTTGATGTCGGTGGCCAGCGTTCAGAACGAAAGAAGTGGATTCACTGCTTTGAGAATGTCAACTGCCTATTGTTCTTGGTCGCAATTAGTGGTTATGACCAGTGCTTGGTTGAGGACAAGGATGGGGTCAGTAAAAAAATGAAACCAGACAGGAAGCTTCGAATACCCTGCTAACAGTGACACAGAACCAAATGAACGAGGCGCTCATGCTTTGGGAGTCGATTGCCAACTCGCATTGGTTTGCCAGATCAGCGCTGATCCTGTTCCTGAATAAGATGGATCTGTTCAAGGAGAAGCTCCCCAAGAGCCCTATCACGAACCACGGGTTCACCGATTACCACGGACCCAAGGACGACTACAAGGCGGCGAGCAAGTACTTCCTAGACAAATTCAAGGCTCTGAACCGAAACACCGAGAAGGAGATTTATGGCCATTTCACCAATGCTACCGATACGAACCTGCTCAAAATCACAATGGCCTCAGTCCAGGACATGATCATCCAACGCAACCTCAAGCAGCTCATTCTCTAATTCAGCGTAATCTGGAATCGGAACTTGTTATACGGAGACATCCGACATTTATCAAGATATACACGACTATAAGATGGGGGTCAGATATTCTCCGGGCGATAACTCAGTCTCAGCCTCATCATGTCTTTTTCATGCCATCATCTGGTTAAGATGTATCAATGCTGTCGATCAGGACTATATTGCTTCCTTTCTTCTGGATTGTACTTTTTTTTAAACCTCATTACCGACTCGGGCCAGTCGAAGCAGCGATATTTTTACATGCGCTTAATATGCCCGGACCTCTATGCCAATTGACACAGTTGTCGGAGCCGCGTGGACCCCTCTCACACGGATGCAACCCAACACTTGATTGCCTCCCATGGCAATACTGGCAATACGGTCTGAAGACTTGTCCGGGCCGCAGTGCATAAGTCAAAGCTGTCAGAGACGAGTCATGACCCACCAAAGCAAAGCCACCAGGTGCATCAGGGCAGCAGTGGAACGATAGCGGAACGAGCGTTTTGGCCGAATTGTGTTTTTTGTGCATTGCATTGCATGATACCTAAGGCGTACCAGTGGATTCATTTCGGGTTGTCTGTTCTTTTGTTCTTCAAAATCGATTGTTCTAAAAGTAGCAGAGCGGCGGGCTTGCCATCCCTCGTTTCTTTTAGTGCTGTTAATGAGGCGTATGATATAAACAACGAGGGGATTGATCGGTTGATTGATTATGTACGTATAGATTAGAGGAACATAACATATCAAAGCATAACGTAACTTGATACTCAGGTTCAGATGGTTCGTATCAAGGTCACCTGTTGTTGGCGCATTCACACCGCCCTGTATCCTGCTGAAGAGACATCCATGCGCTGTGACTTTTGGCCTGGGACCGAATCTTGAAATATCCGCGGCCACATGGCTGCTTGGACCATGTGTTGTGAGGTGCTCGCTAACAAAGGTGGAAATCCGACCACGCTTTAGGGCCCTGTATTTTCTCTTGTCTCTGGTAGGTTGGATATGTTTGAGATTAAAGCATGATGATGGTGTATGGATCATACATAGATGACAAGGGTGTAAAAGTATAAATCGAGACTGACACTGAGCGGGCTGTGATATTATATTCTTGGGGTCCAGGGTGTCAATATCAAGATGAGTATGGGCAGACAACGAGTTAGGACATGACGGGACCGCTTAGTATTGAGGATAGGACGATTACTGTGGCTGTTCTATATAAGGAACTACTAGTTCTGGCGGACTTGTTTGGTGTTTTACGCTGGGCAGTTGGACGGGTAACTCGTAGTATATCTCTTGAAATATTACTTTCCAGACTGCATTTACAGCATATAATACTCTATTTCGAGATCTCGTAGTAGCTCCATGGGCGGGTCAGAACTACCTCTGTAATTCATTGGCTGTGGTTGGTTCAGAACTGCCCTGTACTAGACATGAAGCTGCAGTCAGAACGAATAGATATAGCAGGTACTTCACCTACTAAATTTTATTTATCTACCAAGTTGAGAAAGTCTTAGGTACACCAAAGGCCAAAGTTACCTTAGTATTCAAGAAACCTGACCTAGGCTACCTACTGATGCACTTGGGTTCGCTTGTGAGATAGGTATATGGAGTAGAGATCCTGTATACCTTACTGACGCGGGGTCATGAAAAGCGCACGAAATATAGGATAGGTACTTATGATACAGTACCTTGACAGAAGTATCAGTCAAGTTAGGTATTGAATAACACTATCTATAGAGGGTCTTGGTGATATTAAACTGTCTAGATTTTGGGGGAAAAGTCAATTATAACGTTAACGCCACTGCAAATCGTTGCGGTTTTGTTTCATCATTTGTGCCACTTATTTTTGTCCCCCGCACCTTAACAACTCCAACAACTTTTTCTGCCTCGTCCTCAATTTCATACCTACCTACCTAGGTACCTACATAACAACTGCGACAAACCACCAAAGACGTACATGCTCCGTCGCCTCTTCAACACCATGGCCGAATCAGCATCCAAGCGCGTCAAGACCACGGGCAACGGTCCTCTCATTGGCACCCACAATGGCCACTTCCACGCTGACGAGGCCCTCGCCGTCCACATGCTCCGCCGTCTTCCCGCCTACCGCGATGCCTCTCTTGTCCGTACCCGCGACCTCGCCGTCCTGGCTACCTGCCACACTGTTGTCGACGTTGGCGGCGAGTACGACGCTGAGAAGCGCCGTTTCGATCATCATCAGCGCGGCTTCACAACCACCTTTCCCGGCCGCCGTACAAAGCTCTCCAGCGCCGGTCTTGTCTTCCTGCACTTTGGCCGCGCCATCGTTGCTGAGCGCCTTGGACAACCCGAGGACTCTGCCGACGTTGAATTGATCTACAAGAAACTGTACGAGAACTTCGTTGAAGCCCTCGACGCCCACGACAATGGCATTTCTGTTTTCGACCCTGCTGCTGTCGCCGCTGCAGGTCTCGAGAAACGCTTTAGCGAGGGCGCCTTTGGCCTTGGTGCCATGGTCGGACGTCTGAACCCCAAGTGGAACGACCCTACACCATCTGATCCCGCTGAGGCTCAGGCAGCTGAGGATGCCAAATTCAACGAGGCCAGCAACCGCATTGGCGAGGAGTTCGACAGAGATCTTGACGGCTACGCCGGTTCTTGGCTCCCTGCCCGCACCATTGTCCAGGAAGCCTTCACCAAGCGCACGCAATACGACGAGCAGGGCCGTCTGCTTGTCCTCGAGGGTCAGTCTGTGCCCTGGAAGGATCATCTTTATGCTCTCGAGGACGGTACTCCTTCGGTGCTCTACGTTCTGTACGCTGAGAAGCCTGAGCCTGGCGCCAAGTGGCGCATCCAGTGCGTTCCTGAGAGCAAGGACTCCTTCGTCAGCCGAAAGCCCTTGCCCGAGGCATGGAGAGGATTCCGCGACGCTGAGCTAGATGGCATAAGTGGCATTCCTGGCTGCGTCTTTGTCCATGCAGCTGGCTTCATCGGTGGTAACAAGACTTTCGAGGGCGCCAAGCAAATGGCGCTCAAGGCTCTGGATGCTTAAAGAGAGTATCACTACCTGGAAACCATTTAGGTTGTATAAACGTTTCTACGATATCATGGGAAAATGCAAAAAAGTTCCGGGTAATACTACACACTAAGACAAAAGGGAGAGAAGAAGAAAAAGGGAATGGAAATAGAAAGCATGCTTCTGAAACGAAGCAGGTAGCTAAACGACCAAATGAACATGATAACCATTTGCGGAGAGTGTGGTGTTTCTCTCACCCTGCCGCTGTCAAACAACATTATCCGATGATTCCAGATCGAGATATGTCCCCCGTGTGTGCGAGCCAGATTGTCTGTCAATTCCCAAACGCCAACTGTGCGATCCTCGTAAGTCGTCAAAACCGATTTCGCAATCCACCACAAGCCCACGCACAAGGCTTAGTACTAAAGAAACACACGTTCCATGTTTTGCGAGACAACAGTGAAGAAGTGTAAGAAAAAGAAACTCCCTCTTTGTTCCTGCTCCGTTGCACTTTTCTTTGTATCATTTTCACTCGACGCCCTATCGTCGGATTGGGATGCCCTCGCCGCCAGCGGCAACAGGCTCAGGTATAGCAGCGTCTGCGTTTTTGGACTTGTCGGCATCGTTACCCTCGGTCTCGTCAGCGCTGGTCTCGCTCTTGAGGAAGCTGCTCTCCTTAATAGGGCTGCCAGCCTGGATGCCGGGCACGGAGCCGTGGTGGGCGTGCTTGGGTACGCTGGCTCCGGAGCCGTTCACCGGGGAAGAGAGGTGGGGAATGTTCTCGGGGACGGGATGCTGAGAGCCGACGGCACCGGCATCAACGCCGTCGCCCTTGCCGGCCTTGGACATGGCATAGTCGCCCGAGTCGAAGTATTTGCGGTCCTTGAGATGCTTGGCGAAGTGGTCGGATCGAGAGGGCAGCTTGCCGTAGAGGCGGAAAAGTCGCTGCTCCTCAGGAGTGAGTGACTATAACGAGGGGTTGGCGTCAGCAAAGTAGTCGGTACGATTGAGGATCGCGTTGGTGTAGATGTTGTGAGGAGGGATTGACATTGATGGGTACCATGGCCATGGTCATCGAGTCATGCACAGAGGGGAGCTCGAATCGTCTGAGGTTGGTTGGTCTCCAAGGGCAACTTACCTTGACGTCGACCTTGTTCTTCTGATGAGGGTTCATGGCGAAAGAGGTACTGCTGATACGCTAATGTTGAGATCACAAGAGAAGGTGTGAGGATCGGGTCGAAGGAAAGATGTGTACAGTGCTGCTCTCTTGGTATTTAGACAAGCAAAGAGTTCGTTTTGAAAAGGACCAAGATCGAGCGAGAATGGCGGGGGGGATTTATTGGAGGAGCCACGGGCAGGGTCCTAACTTAGGTGGTAACAGTGATAGTAGTAGCAGTGGCAGTAGCGGTGGCAGCAGGGGATTTTAGGGATCTGGATTGATGGATGATTGTGCCTGATTGGGGGGCTCGAGCAGTTAGGTTGGGTATGATGTAGCTGCCCTGTGAGCGAGCCTGAGAGGCCAGGAGGCTTAGTGGGGTAACGAGTTTCCGTACGAGTTACAAGGATGCCCGCTTGTTGGCTACCTAGGCTGTGCTCTTGGTGAGGTGTATGAAGATAGAGGGGCGGCGGCTTTGCTGTATACACGTCATAAGCGCATGGAGTGAAACGTGGACAGCCAACTCGGTTATTGATTCAATGTGTGTGTACTTGTTTTCACAAAACTTACTTGCGTCTGTCTCTTCCTTATTATCGATGATTTGTATCTAATGGATGCTTATCTTTACTCCAAGAGTGACAGCATGTGCGTTCTTTCCCGTCCCCTTTCTGTCCCTTCACGTGTCGATTCAACAACAAACTTCACTCTCCAACGGTCAATACGTACTTGTAAGGTATAATCAGCATATGATGAACGTACTGTGCATGGGTGGCGATATTAATAATACTCAACTTCTATCAGGCTCTAGGGGAGGAAAGAAATCCCAGGCAGGACCTTGATCCTAGATGACAAAAAGGCTTGGGTAACATACCATAAGTTTAGGATATCATTTGCTAAGTTTATTTTGACACCCTATCTCAAGGTCTGATATTTCTTACTCCCGAGGGAGCTGTACCAGGCAACACAGTGTCATCGGGTAACTACAGCAATGCAATGATCCGCACTGCATGAATTGTATCTGTGTCCTCGCCCTAGGCATGACATTGACCCGTGCTTCTTTGCTTCCTGGTTGGGCATTGCTTATCCAGCAGGAATCGCAACGAGCCATTAACATATATACCTGTTTTATGGGTCGACAGTGAATTGGACGAAGGACATCGTCGCTAGTTATCGAGAGTGCCGTCGACATCTGACAGTACATATATACCCCGGCGTCACCAAGATCGTCAGGGCGACTTGCTCGTCCCCTGGTAGCTTGCATTGAAGTTAACATCCATTGATACCCAGTGGGTAATCATAAGCCACGGTCTATGGGTTCAGATTTGGGAACCACAATTGGGCTGCTGGGCCCCAGACAGCGGTGCTGTCAGGCATGCAGTACTTGAGAATGTAGCTTGTTGCGATACGGAAATGGGTTATGGTTGTACGGGCGGGTCAAGACAACATTGAAGCGAAGCGAGTGACGCGTTGTTGCTAAGAGTCGCCTTGACACACCAACAAGCGTGAGGAGACACCGTCGTTTGCCAGGTCGATGGCTGTCTTGCGTTTCATTGCGCTCTGTTCTTGTCTCGTGCTTATCTATAAGCAATACTTTGACTGGGTGTCAGTGGACGAGAGCCAAGAGATTCTAGTAGCAGAGTTCATTCGCCTCGATAAGGACATGATTATGCGGCTTACCTACCTACTTACTTTCTTTGCCTACATTGAAGTTTGAACTAATACGGTAGCGCTGGGCTCCATCGCTCACATGGCATTCTTTCTAGCGTCATCAGCCCATCCAGTATCCAGTGAGCTAGGAACGGAAACCAACATACTGCGGCACCACAAACACCATTACCGGCATTCCATCTCCGGGTTGTACTGCACTGTGTGCCCGTCCCTTCTCTTGTCAGGATCGATACGACTTTCCTGACCATGTCATTGCTGTCGGCGGCTTCTCCAAATTTCAGCTCCTTCTGGCGTGCTATTCTGTGTCCACGAACCCACGCTTGTTAGGTATTCTTCGACCAAAGGACTATTGTCGGAACCACAATGGCGATGATCACCTGAGCAAGTAATTGGCGATACACATGGCGCTTCTTAGTTCTAGCTTTCGAAGCTTGGGAAGGCGCCGGCTGCTGATCATCGTTCTTGGGATAGAGTTCGTTATGTTGGCGCAAAGCGGAAGCTTGACGCACCCCACAAGCCGGCCCTCGGGTACTAAATGATGCAGAGATACTGTACAGTTGAAGGTGTGCTCATCACGAGAATCTCTCCATTTTGAGGAGGGCAGCAGCAGCAGCAGCAGTGGCTGGCTGGCTGGTTTGTTGGTGAAGATTTAGCGTAGCGTCAAAGTAGACACAGAACTGATGCTTCCTGTCGGCAGTTGATCAATCCAGCACTGATCGAATTGCTGATGTTTGGCCTGATCAGTCATTAGTCGTCTTGGCTCAACATTAAAGGTTATGATAGCACACGTTTTGCGCCTTATTAGTGTGCGTCGGGACTCAATGGCTGCTAAACCTCTGTCTTGTTGGGACGAGTATTACGGTTTCTACTCCGTAACATGGGCATTTTAGACACTGGATACCGGAATCCGTCATACCCATTATTACTGTATGCATATTCTTATGTCTGGATCCGCCGAATAAGTCGCCAAGGTTGGTTGGGAGTTGGAGAGGTCCGAGACATGTTGATCAACCTTCTAACTAGGTAGAGAGATGTTCGATTCACAACATCACTACATTAATCATTCTGCTGTGCATCCAAGAACAGTGTTGTGTCGTGTTATGCCAGCCTTGGTAGTTAATGAGCACCCGCAGTCACTCATCATCATCATCATCATGATGCAGCATCCATTCCTTCGGCGTGCCAGTTGCACCTTGTTGGTTACAACTAGGGTCGCATGACTCAAAAACGGACAGGCTCGTTCTGAGTTGGCTGCAGTATGTATGTACTAGGGACGTTGGAAAGAGGAGAGAGCGACATGCTACAGTGCTCTAGACCAGGCTGGGGTTCAGCTGTGACGAAGCATCTGCCAAAGGCCGTCGCTGGTATTGGACAGTGATTTCCTACCAGTACGTGCTCTGTTCTGTCTGAGCCCGGTAGTCTACAGTACATATGTCATTGGAGTGTTGATCTCGGATTGGTCAGTGAGTGTGACAAGGGCCTCGGGCTTTTGAATATCGAGGGTTTTTGGTTTATATTTAGTCAATCCCGGTAAGCCCATGGAAACCGACGGGGATAAGTCGGATGTGTTTGTTCTTGAAACAATGGACGATACCGAAGCTGGAGAGTCCAATCAGGTGCACGAGACTGTGGCAGCAACTCTCTCTGGGTGAGATGACTGTTTCAGATGCATATTGCTTGTTTGTTCTGGAACGATGTTGGAAGTTTCGAGGTTGCTTGAGAAGCAAACGCCTTTTTTACTGTTCTCGGCCATGAAGAGTTGCAACCCTGTAATGATTGAATAACTCGTTGAACTACACAGAGTAACATTGGCCCTCAGCATTAGTACCTAGGTGCCTCAAGTACTAAGGTAAGGCAGTACAAGGATCAAGATACGGCTGGTCTCTCAGCACCTAGTCAGTGGGTTGACGTACGATCTGCTGCATCGATGAATCGTTGTTTTAGTAATTAAACAATGCTATTGTAAGCAAGCGGTTATCGGCTGCACGGTTGTACGGTTACACGGACTCCGGCTCCAGGCATTGTATGGGAATTGCATGGTCAGTCTGAAGACTCGATAAGGCTGACTTGTATGAGTGGGCTACTCTTTCTAACGCATGCACAGCAATATATGCTTATTATATGGTGAAATTAACTAGGACGATTGATAACATATCGTGCTACCTAAACAGACCTAGAATAATATAATACTTTACACTCGACTTCATGACCAGGCCAGGTTACCCTATATGAGTTATACATACACAAAATGCCGGACTGACAGCCCGTGCCGTGGTAAATATCTCCTCTTGGAGCTAGCGCGATAAGTTTTCCAGAACCTGACCGGATCGGGAGATTGGCCGAATGGCATCATCAGGGCCTCCTCTGATTTGATGTTTGGCGCTCGATTTCTAAGCAGAAATATCCGCTTCTGAGCGACGCAACATAACGCAACAACCATCACAAGCCGACGAGCTTAACGAGGAGGGACAAGGGAGAGATGATGAAATACATACATAGAAAATGGAGATCGGAGGAGTAGGTATCCGTAGATGATACCTACCTATTCTACCTACCTAAACACCGCAATTGTCTCCCACAAGAGAGACAAGCCAAGTCAAGCCACTACAACCAACCATATCAGTATCAGTATCAGTATCAGCCCCTTTGATGCTCTACTAGACTAGTTCTATCATATCAAACCCATACCATTCATTCATAGTCTGAGGTGGGCTAGTTGGTTGGTAACTCTTCGGCGCTTCTCTTCTTCTTGACTTTGACAACGGGCGAACCCGCGGAATTGGACCTGATTCTCGGCAGCCAAAAAAAAACAAAACAAGAAAGATCCATTCTTGTAGGTACGAATACTACTTATTCATTATCTACCTACCTGCTTACCTGCCTTGCCTACCTATCCAAGGTACCTCACTCTACAAGTTTAAAATTTCCTCTTCTATCACTCCCCAATCAACTATACCCGACTATACTCAAACTTGCCCTGGACCACTGATCGACACGGGCCGTTTTTTCTCTCTTCTTTTTCTTCTGCTGTCTGTCTCTATATTTGACGTCCGAGACTTTTTTTTTTGTGGTGACGCTTCGGGTCGTCGCTCAGTCTAACTATCTGGACCCTCGGTCTATTTACTGGTTTGTCGACTGACTGGAGTGTGACTCTATCTATCGTACCGATTTCCAATTGAACCGGGTTTCCTTGTTATTGTCGTCGTTGTTTTTATATCTAAAAAAGTCAAACTCCACGCCAACTCCGATATCGTGGAGAATCAAGAACCTTTACGCCTAGCGCCCACCAACCCCCGGTTTCGCTTTATCAGAGAGTTTGTTCTCTTGATACTCTCCTCCTCAGAAAAAAA